AAAATAAGAGGGGGAAGTATGAATAATACTGCCTAAACATTCACCAAGAATTTGCACCACAACAAAAGGGTAGACTAGAGGCGCCCGCATCATGTTACTATTTTTACTTAAGACTATGTAAAATAAATATATTTGAAGAAATTAGAAAACTTTACGGTTGGAGGATTATAGATTATTCTGGGAGCTATAGACAGACTGGTTTTAAAATGAAATGCGAGTCGATGGAGAGGAGACACTGGAGGGAATGTTGGGGTGTTAATGACTCCGGAATAAAAGTAAAGCGATTAGGGCAGCAAAAAAATTGCTGATATGCAGTTTAAGTAATCAAGGAAGTTGTGTGTGGAGCCAAAACAAATAAGGACGGGACTGAGAATGTCCCTTAGTAAACTGTCACCAAAACACACAAACAAGATTCACAAATTTATTGTCATCCTTTCTGTAATACTGAACATATTCAACTGCTCAACAGCCATTTTTGTCATTAACTGCAGGTTTTGCACATAAACACCTTTTAAAAGAATATTAACTTCGACAGCTAGATAAAAAAAATGTTTCAGGAAACAGAGGAATGTTATGGAGTAATGAAACAATGGAATCTCTGAAAAATTATGAACTGTATCAGAATTTTTGAGCTATTGAAAAACAGAGTTTCTTAATTACCAGATATTCCCAAAGTTGTAATATACCTTGACGAGTAAACACACACCTGAAAGTCCAAATGCTCAACCCTTCAGTTATTACCAACATAGCGCTTTTTAAAACACAGAGAGCTCTTCGGTTGTGTAAACGAAAAATAAATTCATTTTTTCTAATAAAATTTTATCCTACTGAAGAACAATCACTGCAAAGCTGAGGATCCTGTCAAGGACTAGTCATCGCTAGTTGTTCATCCTGTTAAGGGTTAGTAACCATGAGGACTTGTACATGTTGATACGAACATCAGTAAGGACCACGCTTCAATAGATGTTAATTCTATTTATGTCCAAATACTGCAAAGTTATAAATTCGACTGAAGCTTCAGTCACTTTTAACCGTTGATCGTATTAATATACTTTAGGGCTAGGTCACGTTTACCTTTGAATTTTCTTTGAAATTAGCCACTACAAGCTTGTGTATGCTAGTAGACTAGACTGTCCTTAAGGATCGTGTGCGTCGATTGAAGAGGAGCATGAGAGCCAGGACCAGGTTAGTGAGGAGCGACACCGTCAGTAGCATCCCCAGGTATGGGATCAACCAGAAGTAGTAGAACCTGAAAACAAGAGTGGCAATATTAAGAAAAGCTCACTATACCGTGACTGGATGATGGGGGAGCGCTAAACCTGTAGGAATTATACAGCGCCTAGGGGGGTGGGGGATGAAAGGCACGGATCCAACTCCCTAGAGCAAAAGTCCCTCACCAACATCAAGGACCGTCCCTTGAGGGTCCGTGACTGGAACAATTTATTTATTTATTTATTTACTAATTTGAACATGATACAGTGAAGTACAAAGGAATACAGTTATTACAGTGTAACATGCCAAAGCTCCTTGTACGCAGAGCATTATGGGCAGGCTTAAAATTAACTTAAGATTAACTAAGCAATGATATATTCAGTGGTAAAAACATTATTGTAAACAGATAACGATTTAACACAAATGAGTATTACAAAGACAGGTCATATGGTCATTTACTGTGTTGCTGAGCATTCAGTAGAATGGAGTATTCTGTTAGGTAATGTAATTTAAAAAATAGTTTGATTGGGTCTCAGGTTAGACATTTATGAGATACAATAATGAGAAACATTTACGAGATACAATTATTCAGTATTTATTTAGTTGTGGGTGAGTAAGTGATTTTTGAGAAGAGACTTGAATTTATAAACAGTGTTTCTTTTATATTCACAGGTAAATTCCAGATTTTAGGGCCTTTTATGTGCACTGAGTTTTTGCATAGCGTGAGATGGACACGAACATCAAAGAGTGATCTGTGTCCTGTGTTATGGTCATGTGTTTTGTTGAGGTTGGTAAGGAGACGTTTGAGGGGAGGGTTTATATCAGAGTTAAGTGTTCTATGAATGTAGTAGGTGCAGTAATAAGTAGTGGATGTTTTGTATGTGAGTAGGTTTAGAGTTTTGAATTTGGTGTGCGCTGGAGGGATTACAACTACTCGCAATTTCGGTGGGATTATTATTTTATTATTATAATCAAGTGGGAATGCTAAACCGTAGATATGCAGCAATTCGGTGGGGAACTTCTGGATTCTTTTGACCCTTTTACCTTCCTTTTACGCAGGGTGACATATACTTTCTCGAATTGTAATTTAGACTGGAGGGTGAATTAGCTATATACCTTGCATTCTATCAATTATACTTGGCATACATAAGTAAAATAATATTAACAATTGATTATATAACCGTCGAACGTTTGAACCATAATATTATCACTACGTTGTTCAACTATAAAAACTACTCCACATAGTCTTCAGTTTCGTGCTCACTATAAAACATTTTCAATGATTTCATGATCGTACCATGCCTACCCTTCTAGGTAGGTAGGTGCCTGAGCCGAGCGTTTAGCCATAGACTGTCATTCCATTTGCCCCCGGGGGGGGGCGGGATGGAGACCAAGAGCCTACTTGCTGGCCTGGGGACAGTTGGTCCAAAGAGAGAGTTACTTGTGCCTCTCCCATGGGAGACTTAGTCTCAGACACTCCTAAAAGGAAAAGGCCGCCAACCACTTGGAAAAGACCGGGCCGGAAATACCGGCTAACTTAATAATAATAATAAAAAATAATAAAATGATTTTCATAAGCAATATATAACTTCATAAGAGATTAAGGAAAAGTTCAAACTCTACCTTTAAATACCTTTCTATTTATTTTAAAATCAAAATTATGAAAATAAAATTGCCGGAGAGGTTTCTGAATATAATTACATGTTCATACAATGAACAGTAAATCAATGAGTGATGAATATTAGGATTATTATATCTGGAGGAATCATACAGCACCTGGTTAATGGGGAATAATCAGGGCTGGCCCAAGTAAACATTTGGTAGCTCTAATTCCTCTGATCAAGACCTTTCCATATCGAGCCACTCCCTAGGAGTTGAGCCATGCGATGCCAGTGAGCAAGTGCTTCATGTATATGTAACTGTTAGCAACAACTCTTTGCTGGCTGGAGCATACAATACCGCACACACACACACACACACACACACACACACACACACACACACACACACACACACACACACACACACACACAGAGTAGTCAATCACAGTTACAGAGTAGTCAGGAAGTGGAATAGTTTGGGAAGCGATTTAGCAGAGGCAGGATCCATTCACAGCTTTAAGAAGAGTTATGATAAAGCTCATGGTACAGGGAGAGTGACCCAATAGCGGCCAGTGAAGAGGCGGGGCCAGGAGCTATGACTTGACCCCTGCAACCACAACTAGGTGAGTTCAACTAGGCAAGTACACACACGTATCTATCGTCAAGTACCTTTGACAACTGGTAATTAATGGGTTAACACACATCACTCTGGAATAATTATTAATGCAACCTATATGACTTGAGATTAACATGACCATGAGCCAATATGATCAAGTCCAGTACGCACTGAAATTACCTGAAAGTAACATACCCCGGCCGGATTGAACCCGCGGCATAGAGTTCAAAACTCCAGCCGTCGCGTAGCCAATTAGACCAGCTAGCCATAATAATGATTCATCAACTAGTATATTTTACACCATAGGAAGTAGCACAGCAACCTCGTGACCAAATGCTACTTTCCAGGTGTAGAAATATACCTATTGATGAAATCTTATGTGGCTAGCTGGTACTAGTGCTAACGCGGGCGGGCTGGAGTTTTAGACTCTATGCCGCGGTCAATCCCGCGGTAATGTTTACTGCAATCGTGTCTTACGATTTCTTGAGTCTAACTGATAAGTATCTAAGCGAGTTAGCAGCAAGGATTTAAGTCGACAAATTTAGATCAGACAGGATATGGGAAGTGGGTTAGCAGTAAGTTTTAGGTGAAGAAAAAACTACATGAAGCGTCACGGGAGTAGAACATTGGGTAGTTTTAAAATTGGGTTTAGACAGGTAATAAGGGGGTTTGGGTTGGTTGATTAAAACTCCTAGCTTGTAAAAAAAGCTTACTGCAGGTTTCTCATTCTTATAATGATAAATTTCCCTTTCCGAGCTTTTTTACAATGGAAAATCTAGGATCAACTAATTAGCCCAAAAAATCTGATAAAGCCTACATACCCAAACGGGTTAGCTGTTTTTCATAAAAAATTTTTCTTCAATCTTTTTGATGGATTAAATTTCTTGACAAAACCCGCTTAAGCCCAATTAAAACCCTAAATATGACCAAAAGGGGGCCCATTAAAATCTGATATCAGTGTGACAATGAACGTTTTTGTCCAATATACTAAAAAAAACAATGAATACAACAAAAAAATGACTTGCAGAAACGAGGTTTTGGGTTGTTTTCAAAAAAGTTTGAATTTGATAAAGCAAAAAGTGTAAACGTTTCGTGAAATGGAATATGTCCAGAGACAACATCCCAAAATCAACTGCATAAAAAAAAACAGGAAGCCAATTATTCAATTACTAGTACGACCCCCTTTCGAGGAACCTTTGGGTTTGCCTTTGGGCAGCTTGGGAGTTGGCCCCCGGGGGGCCCCCCCCCCAGCTTTAAAAAAAAGACGGGGGTTTTTTTTGCCCCTTGTGGGGGTAAAGAAAACGGGGCGGCACACCCTGAAACCCTTCAAGGGGTTCAAAATAAATAAAATTTTTTAAAATATTAAAATTTTTAAATAAAATATTATTAAAAAAATTTATAAAAATTTAAATAAAATTTTAATAAAAAAAAAATATTTTTTAAAATTTTTTATTTTAAAATAAAATTTAAAATTTTAAATTTGGTTTGGCTTTAAATTGCCGTTTTTTAATTAAAAAAAAAAAATTTTTTTTTTTAAAAAAAAAAAAAAATTTTAATAACAAAAAAAATATTTCTTTTTTTTAAAAATTTTGAAAAATTAATAAAAAATTTTTTTTGGGAAAAAAATTTCGAAATAATTTAAATTTTTAAATTTTTTTACAAAAAAAAATTTTTTAATTTAAATTAAGAAAAAAAAATTTTTTAAAGTAAAGAAAAATTTAAAAGGTTTTTAAATATTTTTAATGAAATTTAAAGAGACATTTAAAAATTTTAAAAAAAAAAAAATTTAAAAAAAAAATTTAATTTTTTTAAAAAATTTTAAATTTAAATTTAAAAATTTTAAAAATTTTAAAAAAAAAAAAAAAAAAAAAGTAAACAAAAAATTAGTAAAGTTAAGTAAAGTTAAAAACAATTAAAAATGTGAAATGAAGTTCCCGAAGGGTGTTTCCCGCTTTTCATATTTTTGATCGGTTTTTTGGAAGGGGCACCCAGGTCTGCCCGCCTGCCTTACCCCAAAGGGGAAAAAAAGAAAAAAACAGTACCCTTTGGGGTCCCCCGGGGGGCACAAAAAAGCCCGGCCCAATGCATTTGAAAAAGTTGAAAAAGAAGAAACATTTAAGTTGAGCCCCAAAAAAAAAAAACTTGGGCAGGGGGGAGAGGTTGTTTGCCCCGGGAAAGAAGGGGGGAAACATCTTATTATCACCTAAAAAGAGTTTTGGTTTCCTGGGGTTGGAGGTATGGGGGGGAACCCCGGGAAATTTTCCGAAATTTTTGGGAAAGGGGAATGGTACGGGTTTTGGGTTTTAAAAATTTAAAATTTTAAAAAAAAAATTTTTTAAATATTTTTATTAAATTAATATTTAAATAAAAAAATTATATAAATAATAAAAAGAAATTTTAAAAAAAAAATTAAATTATTTTTTAAAAATTTTTAAATTTATTTTTTTTAAAAGTGGCCCTTTACGCCCTCCGAACCATGCGCCCTGGCCCCTTATTTAATTTGGGCCCAAACCTTTGGGCCCTTTTGAGCCTTCCCCAAGGGCCCCCAAACCCCCTTGTACCCAGCCCCTAAAAAAACACCCGTTCATCCCCGGGGGTTTGGCCCCCCTTCCCCAAACAAAAACCCCCCCTTTTAAAAAAAAACCCCTTGAAAACCTTTTCCCCCCTTTTCCCCCCCCCCCCCCCCTTTCCCCACACCCCAAAGGAAAGGAAGGTATGACATTTTTTTAAAAAAAAAAGCATCTTCTCTCAAATTACCGAGTCGTTCTACTTTTAACCCCAAACCGGTTTCAAAGGGATCCACGAAATTTCCAAATTCTT